CTGTTCTGTTTCCTTTGTTCCTGTTTAAACTTTTCTATGATTATATTAAGTAAAAGAGCTTTTAAAGTGACTCATGAATTTCTTGCCTTTGCTTTTATTTCTAACCTTACAAAGCAGACTTTATTTTGGTAAAAGTAATTTGAGGACCAGGTAGCGATGGGACTTGAGAAAAACCGTGTACTAAGTCAAGTCCAGACGGCTGCACGGCACCCCGCAGCGGTCAAGAGCACTGGAGAGAACACAGGCCGTGGCCCTACACAGACCTGGGTCCCCCGCTGGGCTCTGCTGTTTGCCAGCGGGCGACACTGGGCAGGTGAGAGAACTCGGCTCTCTAACCGAGCGTCCCTCATCTGAAAGGAGGCAGCGACAGCGTCTATCTCCTCGGGCTGCCGTGAGGACTAAATGCTGCGCGTCCCCAGTTCACCCAGCGCTGGGGATGGCGCCAGACACGTGGTGACCAGCCGCTGTCCTCTGCACCATGATAACTGCTATCACCCCACTTCCGTGTTCAAAAGCCTTCAAGCCCCGCTCCCCAGCCTGCTGTGCAGCAGGCCGGTCTCGGGCCACGGATCGCAGCACAAGCACTGTGGTGAGTACCCGCCTCCTCAAGTCAGCCCTCGCAAGGTCCTATGGGGTAGACCCGGGGTAGGTATCTACATGGTATGTACCAAGCAACTGAGGCACAGAGTGAGGAACCATCCAAGGTCACAGAAGGAACAGTGGAAGAGCTGTCGTACCTTCAGAGCCTGAGCCACGACCCTGTGCTGACTACGAGCAGCACGTATGTGTTAGACTTCCTGCTTCAGGAGCAGGGGAGCGCCCACACCATTCAAGACGGGATTTTGTTTTAAAAGAGACTCATTCCATTTCCTTACGGCATTTCTATGGGCAGAGTAACGAATACAGTCCTGGCAAAAAGAAAAAGAGTGGGGTGGGGGAGGGCTCCAGGGAGCCGCTGTCCGCGTGGTGAGTGCAGGTGGAGACCGTGTAAAGGCGCACGAAACCGGCCAGGAGGACTGGGCCGCAGGCAAGTAACTCACTAGCCCCAGACTGAGCCTTTGAGTGACTCTGGACGAAAGTAGATCTCAGAGGTCGGAAGTACCCTTCCTGCCACGCCGCTAATGAACCGGCTCGTGCGACCTTACCTGCACTTCACACTAGCAGCTATCAGCACAAACGCTGTCCCTTTCTATTTCAGTAAGAGGGAAAGGAAAGGAACGGAAGTAAAACTTGGATGAGGTGGGAGTCAGCAGCTCCAAACACCAACCTCATTCTGCCCGTGTGACTCAGCGTGATCTTCCCGTTACCGCTCCTCGTTTCTCATGCCGCCCACACAACTGTGCGAGGTGACTTTGAGGACTCACTTAGACAATGATACATGAGCAGATGGATTTTTAAAGACCCTAAAATTATTCTTCAACTGAGTAAGATTAAACTGTTTAATAACGGTGATAGATATTCCAGAACTCCAAAAGCAAGAAATATGGTTTCCATGGTTAAAAAACAAAAGAACAACGTTAAACTTGTAGACAAGTGACACTGGAACACCCAACAAATTATTAGCAATCTCCTTCCTAGAAATGACTCTAAAAACAGTTGTCTTTCTTCTAGAAACTACAGAGCCGTTTCTTCCTACAAGTCATAAACAGGAATGGAGGAATCTCAGGAGCAAGATGTGTCATTCTGTAGCACTTACAGTTATTTTTGTGTGTTCTGATTTGTTTTGTACTTCAAAATAATTTTTTAAAATGTTTTATCTTATTTTTGAGAGACAGACAGAGTGTGAGCGGGGAAGGAGCAGAGGGAGAGGGAGACACAGAATCTGAAGCAGGCTCTAGGCTCTGAGCTGTCAGCGTAGAGCCTGATGCGGGGCTCAAACTCATGAGCTGTGAGATCATGACCTGAGCCAAAGTCAGATGTTCAACTGACTGAGCCACCCAGGTGCCCCCTAATCATTTTATTTTTTCAAGTTTATTTATTTATTTTGAGAAAGAGAGGAGGAGAGAGTGCATGCACGAGAGGAGGAAGGGCAGAGAGGGAGAGAATCCCAAGCAGGCTTCGTGTTCAGTGAGGAGCCCAATGTAGAGTTCCATCCCATGAAGCGTGAGATCATGACCCGAGCCAGTATCAAGAGTCAGTGCTTAACTGACTGAGCCACCACCCAGGTGACCTCAAATCATTTTAGACTAACAAAAGTTATCAAGATAGTACAGCTATCTGTCGTAACCCAGCTTCCTTTAATGCGAACACCTTGTGCAACATTTATCAAAACTAAAAAATTAACATTGGTACAATTCTATTAACTAGACACTTTATTTGGATTTCCCCAGTTTCTCTATAAATGTCTTTTTCTCTTCCAGGGCAAAGGATACCTCATTACAAGTAAGATGTCACGTTCCCTTATCACCTCCGTCTGTGACAGTTTGTCTTTGTTTTTCATTACCTTGACAGTCTTAAGGAGTACCAACCAGGTATTCGCCAGGATGCCCCTTAATCTGGGCTGGGCTGCTGTATTCTCAGAATTAAGTGGGGATTGCACGTCTTCAGGAAAGAACATAATGGAGGTAATACTCTTGCTCTTTCAATCCCATTATATCAGGAAGTACCTGACGTCAATACGGCTTATTACTGATGGTGTTAATCATTTAGTTAAGGTGTATCTTCCGGGCTTTTCACTGTAAAGTTACTATCTTTCCCTTCCTATTTTCTATCCTTTAGAAGCAAGTAAGTATAGCTTACACTCAAAGGCAAGGCAATTAAGCCCCACCTCCTGAAGGAAGGAATATCAAACAATTTATGGACATATGCTAAAACCACCACAGTAATTAATAAATAGTTACAGGGGATCACTGGAGGCTCTGCAGAAAGCCTGTTCTTTTTGAAGTTTCCCCTACTAATTTTAGAGTTCCTCAGTTTTTCTTGCCTGTAGAAATTACTGCTGTTATTCTGATGAGGATTTTCTATTTCCCTCCTTCCTTTTATATTTATTAACTGGAATTCTTCTATGAAGAAGAATTGTCTCCTCACCCTAATTTATTTATTCTCTCATTTATTTCTCAGTATGGACTCATGCTTACTTTAAAAGATAGATGGGAGGGTGGAGAGAGAAAAAGAGAGATGCGTGTACATACAGGTCGTACACACACACTCTAGCTCTGTCTGCTGAGTCTAGAGGGACTGACTTTCCAGTAGCAATGAGCACACCCGGTGCCAAGATCTTGTTTTCTAAATAGCTTTCTCCAATAAAAGGAGAAAGCTCCTTGGAGAAATGGATGATTCTAGGGGAGGAAAAATACAATATGAGCCTCAGAATTTTATAGTGTCAAAAATTAAAGTGTTAAAAAAGGAAAAAAATAAATTAAAAAGATGGCGCACGACAAAAGAACACAAGAGCCACCCTGAAAGAGCTCCCCCTAGGCACAGCTGGAATAATCTAAGCAGGAACAATTATTAAATAAATAATGATGGTACTGGATTATAATCTCCTATAGGTTTGAACATATGTATCAAGAGCAAATTAGAACTCACATGAATAGGGGCGCCTGGGTGGCTCAGTGGGTTAAGCGTCCGACTTCAGCTCAGGTCATGATCTCGCGGTCTGTAGGTTCAAGCCCCACATTGGGCTCTGTGCTGACAGCTCAGAGCCTGAGCCTGTTTCAGATTCTGTGTCTCCCTCTCTCTCTGACCCTCCCCTGCTCATGCTGTCTTTCTCTCTCAGAAATAAATTAAAAAAAAAAAAAAACATTAAAAATTTTTTTAAAAATAAAGAACTCACATGAATAAACTCAAAGTCCAATTCCTCTTATGTCTGGTTTACACAGACTGGCAGATACCTGTCAAAACCAGCTTGAGACTCTATCACTGATTCTATACCTCAAACAGCAACAAAATACCACTAGCCCAGAGTAAATGTGCTTCCCTTTAAGTAAAGCCAACATGTGAAATTGTTGTTTGTACAACAGAAACTAAAGCCTGTTCCCCAGGTCATGATCTCATGATTTGTGAGATCAAGGCCCCTGTCAGGCTCTGTGCTGACCGTTTGGAGCCTGCTTGGGAGTCTCTGTCTCCCTCTCTCTCTGCCCCTCCCCCACTCGTGCTCCCTCACCCTTCCTTTCAACATAAAAATATTTTAAGAAAATACAGCCTGTTAATAATCCCCTATACATACACAAACTTTAACAAAAGGAATTCTGGGGTGCCTGGTTGGCTCAGTCAGTGGAGCACAGGACTCTTGACCTTGCCGTTGTGAGTTGAAGCCCCACATTAGGTGTGGAGATTACTAAATAAACAAATAAACAAAACAAACTTTATAAAGTAACACTACTCAGTGGTATTGTATTGAAAACCTGACTTACTATGGGTTTCTAGAACACTGTGTGTTGTAATCAACCACTTGAAGGCTGTACTTCAAACCTCTTTACCGATGGTCCCGCGGCTGCGGTGAGGCCGCCAGCTGCTTTGCTATCCCAACAGCTTCCTGCGCCCACCTGGTGTCTGAGCCGTTAGAAGCTGCGAACTTGTGGGGTTTAAGAGACCACTCTGAGGGTGAAGCCACAGTAGTTTCCCAAGTGACAATCCGGGAACAAGCCAGCTCCCCTCTCCACGAGCGGCAATGGATCAGTGTCAGGAAACAGACTTCCCCAACCCTACCTGGAGATCGTTTCTCAATATATTAACGAACTCACAGCTAATTAAACCACAAGCGCCTCTACTATGTTGAGACTGGGGTTTCATTTATAAAAGTCCACCATAAGACTTTCAGGAACATGGAGGCTGTTCAAAGTGGGGCACGCTTTTACAATTCAAATGTTCTGTGACCACTGGTCACTGATTTCACAGCAAGGCTGAGTGTGAATAAAACCCAGGATCATCAACATAAAGTTAGCCCGCAATCCTCTGCAAAGCAAGCAGGCTGTAACTTACCGGTTCCTCCGTGAAGACCGGCCCCCCCGCAGAACCCGCAGCCGCAGTTAGTCCTAACGAGGTCTCTGGCCGCCTACCTCTCAAAGTGCTGTTTCATTTGCTTACAAGCGTAGTAGCTTCCGTCTCTCAGGCTCTGCATCTTCATAACTTCAGAAAACGTTCCCTCTCCTATTTTGCCAATCGCTTTATAGTCTACAAATAAAAAGAATCACAGAAATAAAATTTTTTTATGCATATACTCAACTTCCAGATGGTGAAGGTTTTTTTTTTAACCTATGCGATAACCCAGCGCCAGCAGGCCGAGCACGGTTATCTCATGGTGTCTGATGCTCTGTGCTCCCGTCGGTTCCTGGGAAGCCGGCAGGGGAGGGGACTGGAGAAGACGGTCAAAAAGTGCAAACTTCCAGCTACAAGATAAACCGGTGCCGCGGAAAGAACATGTGACATGATCACTGGCCACAGCTACCACTGCCATCTGATGCACAGGAGAGCCATTAAGAGATTAGGTCCTAAGAGTCCGGGTCACGAGGAGAAAATTTTGTTTCCTTTTCTCTTTTTATCACATCTATACGAGAAGATGGATGTCAGCTGAACCTATCGTGGTGACCATCTCACAATAACATGTAAATCAAATCATCGTGCTGTGTGCCCTAAGCTGTGTGCCAATTATTTCTCAATACAACTGGGGAAAAGAATAAACAGGATTTTCTCACGCTGGGGAAGAATAAAAAGGCAGCTAGGCTGTGTGCTGGCACTTGGACCCTGTGGTGAGAGTCTCGGTCACGCTGCAAGAGCCGGACAGACGGCCGGCCGGAGCAGCGGAGGCAGGCTTGCCAGCAGGTGCACCTGGGTGCGGGCAGACTCCTGGAAGCCAGCCTCCGGGCCCCCCGGGAGGCCCAGCTGCTGGAGGCCATGGCCCGATTTCCCGAACGCTGACAGCAGCTTCCCGGGCTCGGCTGCCCTGCCGCCCACTATCACCTCGGTGCAGCCTCTGACTCACTGCGCTCAATCCCATCGGGTCTGAGGCCTAGAGCGGCTTCTGTCTTCCTGACCGAACTCTGACAGATGCAGAAATGAAATCTCGAGGCGGGGTGCCGCCGGGAACAAACCCTGCAGAAATGCAGCCCGGCGGCCACCAGAGGCCAGGGCGCTGGGGAGTCTGGGCCTCTGGGTGCCCTGGGCCAGAGTGGCGGCCCCCAGGCCCACGGCCGCCGGGGTGTGCCGGACACTACTGACTGCCTCGGCACGGTACTTCGAGACAGCAATGGGCTCAGGAGAGAAACACTACTTTTCAAGAAGAAATGGAAGGAATGAGAAAAACCCAGAAAGGAAAAGTCTAACTGGGATGAAAAGCTTCTGCGGTGCAAATACCAGGAGAATAAGACTGTGGAGTCATGTTGGCCGAGAGCAGCCCATGAGACCACCCGGTGACACAAATGGCTCTTCCTTGCGTGGAGACCACAGCCAGGCCTGGTTCCAGAGAGCTTCAGGGCAGGTCCCGGAGATGGAGACAGAGATGCAGAAAGCCAGGCCAAGAAGAAACAGGGCAGCCTTCAGAACTCTCTCAAAAAGAGCCTTGAGTGTGGAGCTGCCCAGAAGCAAACAGATCAGAAACCTATCAAACACACCTGGACCAAAAGAAGCCTGTCCCCTCTGGGTCCCAAACCCACATAAGCACAGAGCAGGCTTTTAAAACAGCACAACTCCAAAGAAGGCCATCCTCAATGCTTCTCTTAGATAGGACACATCCGTAATGCCTGTGTGAATTCTGATTTGAACAAACCAACAACAAAAGACACTATTTTTTTAGAAGTGATGTTTTTCAGAAATTATGTGTTTTTTTTTAAAAGGAAAAAAGTCCGTATTTGTTAACAAGAAGTACTGTAGTGTTGCCAGATAAAATGATAAGAGGCTTGGGATTACTTTAAAATGCTCCTGGAAAAAGAAGTTGGGGGCAGGGGAGGAGGCCCTGGGTGGCTCAGGGCTCAGTTGGTTAAGCATCCCACTTGTGATCTCAGGGTCATGAGTTCAAGCCCCACACTGGGCTGCTGGATGGCATGAAATCTACTTAAAAAAATGAAAAAAGGGGGGCGGGGCACCTGGGTGGCTCAGTCGGTTAAGCATCCAACTTTGGCTCAGGTCATGGTCTCACGGTTCATGAGTCTGAGCCCCACATTGGGCTCTGTGCTGTTAGTGTGGAGCCTGCTTCGGATCCTCTGTCTCCCCCTCTCTGCCCTTCCCCTGCTCACACGCACACTCTCTCTCCTCTGAAAAATAAACATTAAAAAAATTAAAAAAGAAAAATGCTCCTGTACTTTCCATTTGCCACTGCTGAAAGTGCACACTGGGACAGTCATTTGGAGTGCAATCTGACAAAATATCTATTAAATCCATACGACATTCATACTCTTGACACAGCAATTCCAACTGTAGAACTTATCCTGTAAAAAATAGTTCGAGTATGTATGATATGAGGATGTTAGTTCAACATGATTTCATAGGGAAAAACTGATGCCCCCCAATGTGGAACTAGGTAACTTCTATATGGTTTATCCATATAATGGATTATATTTAAAAGAATGACACAGATTATTTCCTTAAAGACAATACACTTAATGGCGCTCTCTCTGAGGGGTAAGGTTACAAGTGTCTCACTATCTAAGTTACAGATTTTCCATAATGAGAGGACTATTTTATTAAAAAGCAACAATAAAAACTAAAGACTCCAGAAAAAAAAAAAAGTGGGAGTCAGAACAGCACAATGTTGTCACTGTTGAAACTAGGTGACAGATACACATGAGGGTTCACTGTATTATTTTCTCTACTTCCGGCATGCTTGAAATTTTCCATAATAAAAAGTGAGAATAAAAACGTAAAGGGGCGCCTGGGTGGTTCAGTTGGTTGAGTGTCTGACTCTTGATTTCAGCTCAGGTCATAATCCAGGGTTGTGAGATCGAGCCCCGAGCTGGGCTCTGTGCTAAGCGTGAAACCTGCTTGAGATTCTCTTTTTCTTCCCCGTGTCCCTCTCCCCTGCTCATGCGTTCCCTCAAAATAAGTAAGATAAAACAAAAAAATTAAAAAGTGAAAACAGGGGTGACTGGCTGGCTCAGACAGTGGAGCAAGCGACTCTTGATCTTGGGGTGGTGGGTTCGAGCACTGCACTAAATGTAGAGATTATTTTAAAAAATAAAATCTTAAAAAAGGATAGAAGAGGAGGTAGCAGTTGCTGCAATGGTGGTACAAGGACAGTTGGGGGAGGGGAGAAAACCTCCCCCATGTGACCCAGGAAAAATATTTTCTAAGCATAACAATGTAAATGGGTCACTCTGTAAAGACAGATATCTTTGACTACATAAAAACGTAAAACTCGAGGGGCGCCTGGGTGGCTCAGTCGGTTAAGCATGTGACTTCAGCTCAGGTCATGATCTCACAGTTCATGGGCTCGAGCCCCGTGTCAGGCTCTCAGAGCCAGCTCAGAGCCTGGAGCCTGTTTCAGATTCTGTGTCCCCCTCTCTCTCTGACCCTCCCCTGCTCATGCTGTCTCTCTCTCTCAGAAATAAAACATTTAAAAAAAAAAACAAAACCGTAAAACTCTAGCACCTGAAGAAACTCTCTTTTTCATGGTTACATTATGAAAAAGCCATACGCAGGAACGTTACACAGCAGACAACAGGAATAAGTAGCTCTGTAGCTTCGGACGGGGAAGAAACTTTGCAGACAGAGTATTAAACAAAAAGACAAATCAAGGAACAGCATATCAACTATGTGAACATTTGCAAAAAAAATGGAAGAAAGGGAGGTATTCACAGGTGCCAGCAGAATGGCTCCCCAACAGTGTCCGCGTCCTGGGAACCTGGGAATGTCAGTCTGTGTGGCAAGAGGGAATTCAGATCACAGAACAAGGGGTGCCAGAGGGGCTTGTCCACTGAGCGTCTGGCACTTGGTTTCAGCTCAGGCCATGATCTCACATGGAGGGATCGATCCCACATCGGGCTCTGTGCTGACAGCATGGAGCCTACTTGGGAGCCTCTCTCCCCCTCTCTCTCTGCCCCTCCCCCACCTGCGTGTATGTGGTCTCTCCCTCTCTCTCAAAATAAATAAACTTTAACAAAAATTTAAAGATTGGAGGAGTTGTTGTTAAGGTTGCTAATGAGCTGACCTTAAAATAAGGAAATGTTCCTAAACGTTATCAGGGGCCCCAAGGTAGTCACGAGAGCAGTGAGCTGGAGGAGGCAGAGGGGACGGAGTCAGAGAGCCTAGAAGCTGTGACAATGCTGACTCTGAAGACGGAGGAAGAGGCTACAAGCTGAGGAATGTGTGCGGCTTCTAGAAGCTAGAAAAGGCCAGGAACGGATTCTCCTTCAGAGCCTCCACGCGGGACGCAGCCATACCAGCAACTTGACTTTAGCCCAGTGAGACTCACCTCAGATTTCCAACCTTCTCAACTCTCATAAATTTGTGTTGTTTTAAGCCGCTCCATTTATGATAATTTGTTACAGCAGCAATGAAAAATGAAAACACACAGACACATTTATGCTCATCTATACATAGAAGGACCTGGAAGGAACATCAGAAGGTGCCAAGTGGTGAGCTCACAGTGGAGGGAATCCGGACGGCCGGAGGATGGGAACAGAAAGGAGAGACTCCCTTTTCGCCATATAACCACCGATGCTTTTTACATTATACTTCTTAGTTGTATTCCGTTTGTAAAAATAATTCGAGGGATAATGCTGTATTTTCCGCATGGTTCCCTTAAGGACAACAGATTATGAAATTAAAAAACTAAACATTTTTATTATCATCTTCAAGCACATGGTAATCTATGAAGTGAATATAATTTACAAGAAACTTCAAAATAACATAAGATATCACCTCACAGCCACTAGAATGGCTAGAATCAAAAAGTAGGATAATGACAGGTGTTAGTAAGGATGTGGGGAAGGGGGGACCTTTGTACACTGCCGGGGCAAATGTAAAATGGTGCGGCCACCGCGGAGGACAGGTTAGCAACTCTTCAAGGTGTTAAACAGTTACCCTGTGACCCAGCAATTCTGCTTCTAGGTATACACCCAAGGGAAGTGAACATTTGGATGCCCACAGAAGCCTTATCCACAATAGCCAAAGATGGAAACAATTCATGGGTCCACCGGCTAAAGGGTGGAGACACAAAATACAGTCCATCCACACAGTGG